TCATTTTTCCCCCCGGCTTTTAAAATAACGGGCTCGGAGCGTTTCCAGTTTAGACCAGTGAGCGCGCAGCTGCGCCCCATCTGCGGCACGATTTTGGCCGCAGCCGGGCATTTGCGCGCCCCGGAGCCTGGTGCAGCGCGCTCCCCTCCCGTCCTTGGCCGAGAGCGCGCAGTCCTGCTCTGGACCCCGCGGCGTCCAGGTGGTGCCAGGCGCCCTCGTGCCCTCTGCGCGTGGCTGCTCAGAGGGCCGGAGAGGTGCCCGGCCGGCCTTTCCTGATCTGCCTGGGGCCGCGCAATCTGTCGCCTCGCTTAGCTCCCTGACCTCAGAGAGCGCCCGCAACCATGCAGGCCCTGAGCCGGGTTAACGGTAAGGGTCTGGCTTCCCGCTGGACCGCGGACCTCGAGAAGAGATCCAGGTCATCTTTCCCCGGCCGAAGCCTCTAGACCAAGGCTGGGAAACTGTAGGAAGAGCACCAGGCCCCGCTGGGTCCTCCACACAGCGTCTGTGTCTACGCCAGGGAGCCTAGGCCTCAGAGAGCTCCGCCGGTCGCTTGGGAAACGGCGCCGGCGCGGAGCTAGGCTGCCGCGAAAGCTCCAAGCGGGCCGGTTGGTCCTGCGGCCTCAATGGACGCCACCCGTGGGGGCAATGGGGCTCTGGGTAGGCGGCTCAAGCGGTGCCGCTCCCGAGCCGCCGGGCCTGCGAGGCGGCCAGCCGCTGGGGTTGGGGAGCAGACGAGCGTGAGAGGCGGGTCAAGGGCAGGGCTCCGTTGCCGCCTCGGAGATCTTAGTCCTGGCTCCTGGCTCCCAGGAAGGACAGACTGCTGCTCTGATTGTGTAGGCCGTGGACACCCCGGTGCTGAGCCCCAAGCTCCCAGTCTCCCACATGAGCACTCCCCCTTAACCGCCCAGTTTCCCCACAAGATGCGAGTGATTCCTGTACACTGCCTGTACACACCTTGACTGTTCTCCCTGGGCCTCAAGCGCATTCTTCCCTTACAAGCTCTGATTCAAACTGCTCACTTCCGGAGCTGCTCTGCCTTGCCTCGATCGCTGTGCTCTATTTATTTCACCGCCATCTCTTTTCTGGGCATCGCTCCTTAAGAGGCTGCTTAGTGTTCTTTGAGGTGTACCCCCCTGTCCCCTCAAAAAGGGAGAATGCCAACTTCCCCTAGAGTCCTCCCAGCAGACGAGAAGGTTTCAGGGCAATGCCAGTGAGAAGGGAGAAGTCCCCTACACGCTGAGGGCTGTAGAATGGGCGGGCATGGGGGTCCGGAAGCCCCCAGGCTTGGCGCTTTTGGCGATAGCTATTCTGAGAAGTCCCACTGCGTTCATCCCTGACTTTGGCAGCTGGGTGGCTCAAAATCAGGAAGCCAAGTATTAGAATCCCAGATCTGGTCATTTCCTCTGGGCAGATCCTACTGGGACAAACACTGAGGGGCCAAGAGGCAGAAGAGCAAGCCCCAGAGCTTTGGGGAGCCCTCTGCAGTGATGTCAGTGCTCCCCTGGCCCTCATCCCTGAGTCACTCATCCTTTTCCCCCAGACGCCAAGACCCCTCCCTCTCAGGCCTGCTATGTGTGGGGTGTCCCCTGTAAGTCTCCCAGTCTCCCTGACCACTGTTAATTATTTGGTTCAACTTCCATGAGCCCTCTTTCCTAAGTTCCTACCAAATAGAATTACCCTAGAACAATAACAAAAAACAAAAAACAAAAAAACAAACATGTTGGGTGAGAACGGAAGCCAAGCGCTGGAGCATTTGCTCCCTTATGCTCCACCTGAGTTGGGAAGGAAACCTGGGGCCTGGGCTGTTGCTGTTCATGGCAGAGGACAGGCCCACCTGACTCCGGGCCTCCAGGGTACACAGTGTGCTGCTTATTTCACTGCCTGGGTGGTCCTGGGAGAGGTCCCTGACCACCTTCCAGCTGGGGGAGCACCTTGCCCAATTTGTCCTCTACGATGCAGACTGGGACTTATCAGATCCGGAAACCCAGAAGCCCATTTCTCTGATCCCATCCTCTCCCAAGGACAGCTGGGATTCTGACACCAAGTCCCAGGGAAGAAGCTGCCTCTTGGTACCAGCCCACTGGGCCTCCTGGGGGCCAGGGAAGGAGCTGAGTGAGTCCGTGGGGTGTCTTTGTGGCGCAGCTCCTGCCATCCCAGCAGACTGTTGTTGCAGGGAGATTTCATGGCGACTCCGCTGGGGGTCCTCGCCTGGGGGAGAGGGCGGGGCATTTGGGGTGACCTATTTTTCACCATGCCCTGGTCTCAGCAGGGCTCCACCAAGCTTCCTGAGTGAGGGTTAGCACTTCCGAAGGGGACTGCTGAGAGCTGCTCCCAATCTGCAGTCAGGTCCCCGCTGCTTGTCCGAAGCTCCTGAGGCAGGAGGGGACAGACGACTGTGAGAATGGTGGGCTGGGGGCTGAGCCTGCCTCCTGTCCCTCTATTGCTGGGGCTTAAGTCCTTGCCCAAACATCACAATTTGGGAGGAATGAAACAATCCCCCCGGAAGCTTCTTTGCCCCATCTTGCCCTTCATACCCGAGGGCTGGGAGATTTGACGTAGCCTTGAGATTTGGGGTCCAGAGAATGAGGCACAGCCAGACCTGTCAGCATCTGTGTCATGGGCATGAGGACATGGGAACCGAGGCCTGCAGAGTCAGGGACAAGGAGGCACTTCCTGGCAGGGGTGGGGAGATGTCCACCACCCCATCCTCACCACCTCTTCCCTCCCTACGCCCTGCTACAGCGTCAGTCCTGGCACCTCCACGCCCTGTGGGATGCACCACCACAGAGCGCTTCCCCGAAATGAACCCCCTCTGGCCCCAGCAGATCCGCCCAGACCACAGACGACAAGGTTCCCCTGGGCCCCCTCCCCAGCTGGAGGCGCAGCAGGCAGGCCTCCTAATGCCAGGCTCCCGTGGAGGGTGGCTGCTGGGAGGAAGGAAAGAAAAAGGAAGGGGGAGGCGGGGTCTGAAGCGTCAATGTTCTCCCCCCTCCCTCTATTCCACCCACAAAACCCCCTGGTTGGGTTTCCATCCTCCTTTTTGTGTTTCCATTGCAGCTGAGGAGAAGGCCTCCAAAGCTGCCAGCTTCCCCCAGCTGCCCTTGGACTGCCAAGGGGGCCCCAGAGACGGGCCCTCTAACTTACAAGGCTCCCCAGGACCTTGCCTGGCCAGGCTGCGTGTCCCCCTGTCCCCGGGACTCCCCGATTCCATGGAGTTGGTCAAGAACAAGAGCAAGAAGCGCCGTAACCGCACGACCTTCAGCACATTCCAGCTGGAGGAGCTGGAGAAAGTCTTTCAGAAAACCCACTACCCTGACGTGTATGCCCGGGAGCAGCTGGCTCTGCGCACGGACCTAACCGAGGCCCGGGTACAGGTGAGGGCGCCCCGGGCGCAGGGCTCTCCAGCTGCCCCGACCACCCAGACCTTTGGCCCGGCCATGGAGGGGCTGGGAGAGGTGCGTGCTAGCGCCACACAGAGCACCTCTCCCAGATGCCTTTCTGTCCCCAACCTGCCCCTCCTGGGCTCCGCAGCAGCCACAGGTTTGCAGCCCAAGTCGAGGCTTGTGCATGGGCGCGGGTGGGGGTGATGGCCTCTGGGAGTCAAAAGACCCGCGTGGGAGTCCAAGCTCTGCCACTTACTAGCTGACCAGGTGATTTGGGGCATGTCATTGAATCTCTCAGTCTCAGTTTCCCAATTTAGGAAGAGAGAATGATAGTAGCACCTGCTTAAGGAGAAGCTTTGTGGAGCACGGATGGGACAGCGTTTGGAAGTGCTGAATGCATGTCAGGGCTGCTCCTGAGGTGGCTGCTCAGAATGGGAGGGTCCCCGCTGGAGGAGGGAGGGTCTCAGGCTCAGTGATCTTCAAAGCCACCCTGAGCCAGCAAACTTCAGTTCTGCCAACTTCCAGGTCTTGGCAGGGAGAGCCTGGCTGGCCAGGAGCCCCTCCCCACCCAGAAGACCCTCCCCAGCAGAGATCATGCCCCAGGCTTCTGGACGGGGCTGTGGCCAGCCTCATGAAGGGGATGGAGGGGTGCTGAGAACAGGAGAGAGAGAAGGATAGGAAATTCCATATCCATGAGATGTTGGACGTGAGAAAGAACTTGAAGGTGGCAAGCAGCGGGTGGGATGGGAAAGGCTTCAGTAGGAGTTTGGCCCAAGGGGAAGATGGCGGTTGTTGCCTTGCTGTGACTGGCTTGATCCGCATTTCCTGATGCCACTGAGCAGGAGGCCCTGGGTTGAGGAGACTGGTAGGGGCAGAGCTCATGCTGTCACACCCTGTGTAGGGCCTCTCCAGAGGCTGCGAGGGCACTGGGACAGGGCCAGCTTTGGTAAAATATGGGGACCAGCAGGCCAGTCTATGAGGAGGCCGGCTGCCATCTAGCAGAAATGGCCCTGCAGCCAGATTCCACATAGGACTGGAGAGGCTCGGCTGCTCCTCTTCTCTGCTAGGTCCTCCTGTTCCCAGGTTGCACCCAAAACACACTTCTAGGACTGTCCCCAGGGTTCCCCAGGGCCCGGGGCCATCAGGGTGAGATAGCCAGCTTCACGACAAGCTAGTTACATAAACCACGGAAGTCTAAGACAGCAAGTCTCTAGAGGCCTCGGCGAGCCTCTGGGTGGCATCTGACTGCTATGCCTATGTTCTGGGAAGTGGCCCACACTCCCTTGCTCCTCCCCAAGGCCTTTTCAACCCTAGAATGGCACGGGGGGAGCCACAAGGACCCCAGACCTAGTCCAGAAGCTTCCCTGATGATTGAGGCTCTAGAGTAAGGATATTTTCTCTGACAGGAGCATGACACCCACCCAAAGGCCCTGCCCTGTGGAGAGGAATAATGCCACACATGGAACAATGCAGAGGGGCGGTCCAGAGTGTACTTGGAGGCCTGCGGTGGGGACTCTAGGAGAATGAGTGGTGACAGGGAAGAATTCTCAGTAAAGCGATCAGCTTCACTGACCTGAGCTTGCCCCAGGTCTGCTGTGGGGTAGGGGTGTGTCCAGCTTCTTAACTCAGGGCCTTACCTGCCTGTCTCCATGAGTAGGAACGATCATGAGAGAGTGTGAGGGGCTGGGGTAGGGTTACTTTTACACACGCACATACGCACACATACTTTTTCTGTTGTGGCTCCCAGCTAGATCCCTGGAAAGCAAAGTGATGATTTGCTTTGGTTCGGTTTTGATATTGCCAGTGTCTAGCCCAGAGCCTGACACGTAAATGCTTATCGAATGCTAGACGTGCAAGCTCATGCACCAGCACTCATAAATGCAAGAGTCCTAGGGCATTCACCCAAAGACAGATCCGTCACAGCTATGTACGTGCTGTGCACAGCACACAATATGCCACCCCCAGCTGCCTGGAGCTCACAAATGAATGGGCGAGAGAGACTCCAAAACACGGTGGTCGTAGGTTGCGGTGAGTATAACGAGAGATGCTTGTGTTATCATGGAGTCCGGTGGAGGGCGCCCGGTTCAGGCGTATGGGGGTTCGCAGGGGGTGGGTGGCACAGGCAGGGAAAACCTGGGCAAAGGCAGGGAGGAGCGAGGTAGCAGAGTATTTCAAAGGTCAGCTGAGGTAGAGGCAGCTAGAAAGAGTCAAGTGTTGTTGCCTGGCAGGAGGTGAAGCTGTAGAGAGCGACAGGGCCCAGGGGCCTTGTTGTAAAGCTGGGCTCTGAGCTGAGGTTTCCAGGAAGCCGCTGAGGCTTTAAGCAGGACAGGGACCTAAACAGAAATCTCTAAGATTCCTCAGATGCCATGAGGGGTAGCTTGGAAAAGGAGATGAGGCAGGAGGCTAGAAACCCAACATATGCACTGGTCACCCAAAGAAGTGCCCAGGGCCTCTGAGGTCACGGGTCCCCGTGACACCCTTACCAGACACAGCCAGGCTGGAAAACCAGAGAGTTCCTTAGCCTGAGGAGTGTGTAGAGGGGGTGGCATATGGGACTAATAAGTCTACTCTGGGCTCAGGCCTCTCCTAGGCCCCATCGCAGACTTCCCTGGCCCTGGGAACGATGTGGATTTACAAGCTCCTGCAGCTGAAGACTCCAGATCCTCCAGCCTGGAGCCAGCTCCCCACCCAGCAGCACACAACTCCCCAGCGGGCTCCGCTCCTCAGGGTGGCTTTATCACACCCTCAACCTCTCCCTTCTGCTCTCAGGTCTGGTTCCAGAACCGCAGGGCCAAGTGGCGGAAGCGGGAGCGTTATGGGAAGATCCAGGAGGGGCGGAACCCCTTCACGTCTGCCTATGACATCTCTGTGCTGCCCCGAACAGACAGCCACCCCCAGGTGAGATCCCCGCTGAGTCTGGGCCTGACCAAGTCCCAGGCGTCAATAGTTAGAGTGTGAGCTCTGGCCTGTGGGAGACCTGGAGCAGCCCTGGGTCCTGTGGGACAGTGGGCAAGTCGCTGCTCTGCTCAGTGGTGCTCTTACCTGTCTCCTCAGTGATGCAGGCAGAAGAGCCGGCACAGAGGAACCACTGAGGAAAATCTCATTTTGAGAAGCAGTGGCAGAGGCCTCCGGGGATGCCACTACGTGTACTGGGGGTGGGAGGGCGGAGAGAGAGCCCCTAGGTAGGGAGGCAGCACCTGGGGCTGCTGATTCACGGGCCTGCTTTCTCTCTCTTTTCAGCTGCAGAACTCCCTGTGGCCCAGTCCAGGGTCCGGGAGCCCCGCCAGCCCCTGCCTTGTGTCTCCAGAGGGCATCCCCTCCCCGTGCATGTCTCCATACTCCCATCCGCATGGGAATGTGGCTGGCTTCATGGGGGTTCCAGCCTCCCCCGGAGCCCACCCCGGCATCTACTCCATCCACAGCTTTTCCCCTGCCCTGGGGGGCCACAGCTTCGAACCCTCCCCGGACGGCAACTATAAGTCTCCAAGTCT